GGGGGGGGGGATGAGACGGCCCGCGTTGAGGACGGAGTGGCGCGGAGTGGTTTGCATCCCTTTTTTCTTGTTGCGCAGCGTTGGAAGGCAAACATCTATTTTGGGCACTGAGGATGATTATCAGGACGTCGAACGGTAACAGAACAACCCATCGCCAAAAACAGCCAACAGCAAACGCCACCTACCTCTCGCTGGGGAAGTCCTCTTCGTCCCTCATCCCCGCCCGCAGTACCGCCTGCGCCACCGCCGTCTCCCACGTGAAGGAGTCCATCTCCCCGAGCGGCCCGAACATCCTCGGCGGTCTTGCCCGAAGGGAAAGAAGCCCGCCCGCCGCCGCAGGCCTGCCGCCTCTGATAACGCCTCCTCCTCCTCCGCCGCCGCCGCCGCCAGAGTTCCGAGGAGAACCTTCCGAAATTGCTCCAAGAGGCCTGGGGGATCCCTGCTGCTGCTGCTGCTGCAGGTTCTGCTGTTTTCCGGCAGAAGTGAGGGGGGAAGAAGAAGAGGGCCGTCGCTGCAGGTCGGCGTTACGCCTGCCGTCCTCCCCGCCTTGTCGGTGGGTGCTGGTGCCGTCGTCGTCCGAGTTCTCGTCCATCCTCGAGGCGTTTCGGATGCCCTCGAAGGTTCGCGTGCCCAGGTCGAACACTCCCACCACCGGCTAAAATAGTATGTTTCAGGGGGCAGAGTGCTCTCGGCTTAGTATTGTGTTGCTTTTTGCGTCTTGATGTCTGCGGATAAAGGGTACGCGTATTGATTGCCCCTGAAGGCTTGACGCCGAAAATTTCTTGGGTCTCAATCTGATCCTCCCTCTCCCCCCCGAAGCCCACAAAAACAGCCCGCGTTTGTCACGGGGCGAAACAACCTGTGAAGTAACTCTCACCTTAATCGCGACTCCGACAACCCCCTTGACCATCCCCTTCCCGAAGCCGAGAACCCCTCCCTTCTCCGCGCCGAGGTACGGCTGGACAGCCACAGCCACCAAAAGATCCAGCGCGCATCAAAAAAACAAATTGGGCGTGGTCACGGGGAGCACGCGGAGCAGTCTGACACAGGAGTCAAAATGTAACACCCCTAGAGTGACGTGAGGACGTTGGTAGGAAGTCAAGTACTGCGTTCCGGCAAGCAGCGCGGACCAAGATACGCTCGACAAGAAGGCGCATCAACAGAACGAGCAACAAAACACTACCAGTTGCGAAAAACTACGGGCAACAACAGTCCATCGAGCCTTTGAGGGAAACGAGGGCAACTAAATCGTGGCCGATCGAGAAACACGAGGGAGCCGGCAAAATTTTTGCTTGAACAAAAAGGAAAAGCCGCCACCTTCTATAAGCGAACCAAAGCCCTCCTGAGCTGGTGGCACGTTCGCCGAATCGAGGAGCCAACATGAGACGTAAGTCATGATGGATGTGTAACATTAATAATGCATGTGGGTGCCAACCTTCACGACTTTGTGCGCGCGGCAGGTGTAACCGTACCTCCATCACGACACCAGTGACGCCCTGGAAAATGCCTCTGCCGAACTCCTTCGCACCTTGCGCCATGCTGTCTGCCATCGTCTCGCCCTGTTTTGGGGATGCTAAGTTAGGTCGCGAGAGAGTTTGTCAAATTTTGTCCATTCGAAATTCGGTTCGTCAGGGCAATGAAAGGATACGACAGTTGACGCCAACGGGGGCGCAACACAAGAACGAGGTCACGGTCATGATCCCAACCAAACCCGCATCACGCTGACATGAAAACAAGCATGACGCGAGATGGAGAGGCAAAGAGAGAGGACAGAGAGAGAGAGAACACACACACACACACACACACAGAGAGAGAGAGAGAGAGAGAGAGAGAGAGAGAGAGAACAGAGAGAGAGAACAGAGAGAGAGATCGAAGTGACGCGATGAAAAAAGTACAAGTGCGACACGAATTAAAGTGACTCCAACAGAAAGAACGAACAAAAAACGGAAAACACAAAACATGAAAGAATAAGGGAGAGAGAGAAACAACCCGGGTCGAACGCGCGCGACCACACCCCAAGCACAACACTGATGATGATGATTCAACATTTCCAACGAGGGTCTAGCTGTGAAGAGAAACCAAAACGATGACAAAAATGACAAAATATACCTCCTGCACCGCCGAGTGAAGCCCCAAGAGCATCGTGTGTTGCCCAACTCTTGGACGGGCATTTGTGGCTTGCCATGTTGCAAAGCCCCATGTTAAGCGATTGTACCCGTGCCATGACATCACAGTGACGCAAAATCAAAGCGAAAGGACAAACAAACGAAACAACATGGCAAACGGGCGAGACAGCGGGAGAAACACGATGACGAGATTCACACACGAAACCGCACACACACAAACCTCGACGAGCCTCTCGCGCACTCTCCTCTTCCGGTAGCCCGTGTCGAGCGAGAGCTGGGATATCGTGTCCCCGAGGGACCCCGTGACCTTGTTGAACGTGTTGAAGGTACCCTGGGAGGGGGGGGGGGGCCACACCCAAGAAGGAGATCGAGGAAAATACAAAGAACAACAACAAAAATTGGTTTGCAGAATGGCAGAAGGAAGCAAAGGGTGGATGAAGGAGCAGCTTGCACATATTGGTCATCCATAGCTTTGCTGAACCGTGTTGCAAATGCCCCCTGCGATGCTTGTCTTGCAGCGCGGACAACTGCGCTTGACCGGGGAATACATCTCAAGAGGTGGGGAACACCTATCCAACTAATCACATTCAAAAGAATGTGGAAATGTGGGCTGCGGGTGAACCCGGGTCTCTTGCCACTGAAAATCAGACATCTGTTCGTCGACCCCAGTCTGAAGAGAGGAAATCGTCCACGTCAGACGTTGGGGAGATGAGACCGTTTGAAACGTCATCTCCGCCAGCATACTTTTGGTTTTCTGGCGTAGATCATCGTCTCGATCGAAATCAGCCCCTCCCTTAAGCTCCACTTACTAATGCCTACATCTGCTACAGAGAGCGATCAATTTGATGACCATCCGAACACCAGAGGGTTCGAAGGCGCCTCTCCATTCCCGGACCTTGTTGGGCAGCAGCCAAGTCCCAGTCCACGCCGCAATAATGCAAGCACAACTCCCCCTACCTTGTCAAAAGCTAGAAGCCAGACTCCCGCCGCCACAAGAGGTTTACGCCAACATCTGCACAACAGAAGCGGCAATACGGACTCCAGCAGCGCTTGTGACGACACCGACGTATGGCTTTACCGCTGCTTTCACGCCGTGGTAAGATGCACCCCAACATGCACCCCACCTGCATCGTGTTCGAGACCAGGGAGGTGCCCCCCTTTCCCAGGCCGTACAAGAAGCCCTTGCCGTCCGGCTTGAGGCCCTCGATAGGCTCGTAGAAGAAGTCCTTGACGCCTGTGGACAGGTTAGACAGCAGCCCGACAGGGTCTCCCAGGAAGTCGAAGCTCCCGACCACCTTGTGCACCTGCCGAGGCGATTTCAAAACGGTGGTTGTGGGCGGCAGAAAAAACGAAAAAACATGATTATGTTCAGTGTCGGCCATAGCCCTGTGCCGATACGCAATCGCACTTCTGCCAAAGCCAGGACGGATTGAGCCCCGTTTTCGCCGACTGTAGCCTGGAAATGCACGCCATGAGATGTGCGTGTTCAGCGCGAAGGGTGAGCTTCATCCCGAGAAACCAAGCCCGAGGGAGACTCTTACACAGGGGCGGGGGTGAGGGGGTGGCACTATACTGCTGTCCCGGCCAAAGGGGGTACGCAACAAATGCGAGGGCGTGATACATACCTTGGCTCTAGGATAACGGGCACACACCTCATGCTCGACATACGTAGAAGAGAAACCACACACAATAGATAATGACGAAAACAAGACGACCACAACATGACAGCAACAACTCACCTGCGAGAGGAAGGCGAACTTGTAGTGCTTCAGCATGACCTCGGCGAACACCGCCCGCCCGCCGAAAGCGTGCTCGAGCTGTAACGCGTTCAGGCACAGCCTGCCAGGATGATGGCGATGATGTTTTCGTTTTGTCAGACACAGCAGCAGGCAGAAGTCGCAACAGCAGTTCAGAGCGGCAACAGCAGCAAACCGCACCAGCACGTCAACGGCAGGAACAGCCAGCAAACGTACAACACTGGGGTTATCGAGAGGAAGCGCGAGTGAGTGACAAGACACACACCTTCAGCTTGAGAATTTCTGCGCGTCGGCCTCTCCCCGCACGATCCAAATCACCAACCCAGACCAACTTGCCACACGAAACGCCTGCAAGCCCCTCTCCCGCACCAACAGCGGCGATCCGAAATACAACACGGCCGAAGAAAGACGAAGAACAAACTCACACAACAAAGCTCGACGTTAAAAAAAAGGTGTTGTGGTTTGTGCACCTCGCATCGTTCAGCTGGGCCATGGTGGAGAGAGTGAGCTCCTCAGCGTCCTGGACGTCCGAGCCGGGGGTTCCGCGGTACGTGATGCGGACGTCTAACGGGTGGAGGTGCATGAGAGCGAAGTAGATCTTCACCTGCACGGATCAAAGTTTCTTGTTAGTAATCGGCAGAAGAAACCGGGGGGTCGGGCGTTGTGCCCACTACGGCCACACGCGACCTGAATGTATCACCTCTACCGAGCGTCGTGTGCTGGGCCAAGCATCCTGCAGTGTGGAAGCACAACAACATCACCAAGCTTAAACTTTCAGGAAATTTTCAATTCGCATTCGATTTACGGCTGCCGCCAACGAAACCTCCACGTCCCCCAAGTCTCTTAACGGCATAGAGCTCATTTCAGCTACGAGCCAACCGCGGACGATAGCCTAATCTACGGACGGTACTAAATACCAGAGACCTTTGCGTTCCTCTCAGAAGCGCGGCAAAGCAAATGCCCTTACTGCCGTGAACACGGAACAATGGTGCTTCAGGCAGCACAAGAGCTTCCCCTTGTCTGCTTGTCCTCAGATATCCTCAACATGTCCGTCCTATGGCCGACAGATCTTCCAGGAAGGGTCAGTTGAGGTGGGTTTGTTCCCAACAGGACGCTTCATCTTGAACAAATTGGGTATTGGGGTATGCTAGCAGAGGGGGTTGTCCATGTGAAAAGACTCGACGACCGCCTTCGTTTAATCCTCTCACGCACGCTGAGGGCTTCAACACAAACATGTTCCTTGACGCGGGACGACCACGTCCCGGCGGCAGAACCCCGGCAATCAACCATGCCAGTGGGCACTCCCCGTCTTGCTGCACAAGAAACACAGTGAACGAGACGCTAGCACCCCCCGACACACACAGTGTGAAACGCCTCCTCCCGGCCCCGTACCTCCGCACGCTGTCCTCCTCCGACTTCGAACACCCCGGGGGAGAGCGCGCTCTCTCCGGCCGCAAGGGTCTCGGCGAACGCCAACAGCCTGGTCCGATTACTGTTGGCGCTCTCCACCAGGTACCGCCTACCCTCACCGCCGCCACAGCTGCTCGAACGCGCTTCGCCGCTTTCCCCCGTCCCGCCTCGTCCAGCACCGCCACCGCTGTGCTGGTCGGTGGCAGCAGCAGCAGCAGCAGCAGCAGCGGCGGCGTTGTCGCCGGCGCCGAGAGAGTTCCACAGGGTCCGGGTGTAGTCGCCGATGTTGATGCCGCCGCGGCTCCTCCTGCTGTCCTTCACCAGTCTTGTCTTGACGCCGCCACCGCCATCGTTGCCGTTGCCGTTGGTGAGGCCTCCCGTGAAGGGTTCCTCTGCTCCCATCTTCTCTCGAAGGCGCATGAGGGCGAGGAATATTGATTGCTCCACCTGCGCTCAGGGGCGGGGAGGGGAGGGGGAATTGGGAGGGGGGGGTATGATTGTTGATTCTAAAGTGTATCGTTCAGTCATAAAATACGCAAGTCGTTGATTCCACCACCACCTTCTCACAAACAAGCGAACCTTATCGAACAGAGAAAAAACGCCAGAGCGCAACGATCGTCTCATGAAACAAGGGCTCGCAACAACCCATCTTTATTACGTTGGCGTCCCCCACGACAGGGCAGAATACGAGGGAGCGCTGGTAGTAAAAAGCACAAACCGCACCACCCGCTGCCTGCGGTTGGGCAACAGCAGATACGTTGCACTGATCCTATGAACATGCACGTTGCACACCAGCAAGCCATGAAGATGTGTTGCCATTGCGGGGATGTTCCGACAAAGTTATCAATTCGAGCGCTGTCGACCGGCCTTGCGCAAAGAAAACAGAGAATCCAAACGGTAGCACCAGAGCAAGCCCGAAGACGGGGCATGGGACCGCGAGCACTGTCTGCGAATGCCGGCTCTTGCATCCGCAGCTTGCTTCCCTGTGGGAGCAAAAACCAACTGACACGCTCAAGACGACCAAGCCGCCAAGCTAACCAGCGCACGCGTCGTTGTCACCTTCAAATCCACCGGCCGTATCCAGATGGTGGCCACGTCGTAGTAGTACACCACCATGTCCAACTCCCGCTGCTGCTGCTGCCCTTGCCCTCGCCACCAATTCCCGACCTCACCGGCGCTTGTCTCTTCCCCACCGCCACCGCTCTCACCACTACCGTCAACCCCGGCGGCGGACGATTCACCCCCTCCTGCACGCTGGTTAGTCATCGTCAAGGAGACCCGCTTCGCGCTGCCGCCGGCACCGCCGCTGCCAGCAGAACCGGCGGTATTCGGCGAGTCCGCCGCCCGGCGCTTGGCGAAGAAGTGGAGCGCCGGCGGCCTGTCGGCGGGTCTTGGCGCCAGGCCGTCGAGCTGGATGATGCCGACGGGAGCCTTGCTGCCGTTCGGCAGCCGCCTAGCCGGGGGAAGCGGCCGCGGACGCAGCAGCGCCGGGAACAGCGCGGAGGGCAGCTGGTTGTCCACCTGGAGACCGTCCACCGTGATGGACAGCATGCGATGTCTGGAGACGGGGAGCGGGTGGGGGATGTATCGGACGGCGTGACACTGGTCAAGGGGGGGGGACCCCTTGTTAATGTTTCTTCCGACGAAACATCTCACTCCTACGGCTACAGTATTAGGGAAGGGTATGGTTGGTTGTTGGTTTCTTCTTCCTCGATAGCCAGCACGTTTGCGCTATACGTTTAGTCGTGGAAGTTGTGAAACTAGTGGTGTCCAGTGTTAAGCGGGCACGATACGATAGACTTCTCTCTTTTTTTTGCTTTCTTCACCTCGCGGTGGCGGTGATGTCCGCCTTGATCCCGCATGCCAAAAAGTACAACAGCTCCAAGGGGCGATCGTCTACCAGGGACACACCGATCCCCGCCATCTGGAGCATGTACACGCTCGTCACCCTCGATGCGTCAGCGGCGCCGGCGGCGGTCGCGAGCGTTCCAGCGCCCTCCGACTCCGGTCCTCCCCCGCTGTTCTCCCTCCCTTTCTTACCCAACGCCGCCGCCACAGCCCCGTCATCGTCCTCCATTTCCTCCCCGGCCTCTTCCACAAGCTCGAGCACCTTCGTGGGGCCGTCGGCGCGGACCCTAACGTTGACGTAAACCTTTGCGCGCAGGCGAGACATGATGGCCTCCCCGCCCTCCAACCTAAGGGCAGAAGCGTCTCCGCCGCCCCCCGTCCCCGCAGAGGAGGCTCTCTCAGCTGCTTCGGCTGATGCCGCCGGCGCCGCCACCGCTGTTCCTGTTCCTGCTGGCGTCGCTCGCCCGGACTTCTTGAGAGCCTCCACGCAGTCGGCATCCACGGCGTCCCTCATGGCCTTTATCCAGCGCAGAGCCGCCAGCGCAGAGTCGCAGCGGAGGTCGTGCTTTGCCCCCGCCGCAGACAACACCCGCACTATCCCGGTGCCCTCTGGGTCGAGATCCACGTCCCTCCCGGGGTCGCGCAAGAGGTACCTTTTCCCTGCCGCCCCAGGCGGCGGGTCCGTGGACAACATGTTTCGCATCTGCTGCGATCCCGACCGGCGTAACCCGGAACCCGTCCTGCCCAAGCCGCCCCTCTCGTGCCCGCTTCTCCCGGCATCGACGCCTACGCCCCGCTCTCCTTCCTCCTCCAATTCCGACGTTGGGTGCAGGCCAGACTTTGGCGAGGATGGGGCCGGGAAAGGGCTGTCCTCTGGGGGCACCCCCTCCCCTGCTGCCACCGACACCGCTGCCGCTGCCGACAACATTTTCCCGTCCTGGGTACCGCTGTATCGAGAGGTACCTCCAGATGTCCTGCCGTGACGCGGGGTACCCGGCACCCCGGCAACGGATGCCGCTGTCCCCGCGTGTTGACGGCTCTGGCGCGTCGAAGGCAGAGAGACCAGCAGTCCCAGCTCGACCAGCTGCCGGCACATCCATTCCGCCTCGGAGTAGGACACCCCCACCGCCGTCTCACTGCTGTGACCGGACCCACCCATTTCCGTCAACATCGTGCTCCACTCGGCAAGAGTCATCCCCTGGTGGAAGGCCGACGTCGTCCCCGAAAATCGCCGACCGGCGGTAGTGCGTGTTCCGTCCCCGCCCTCCGACACGCCTCCTCCTCCTGGCTGCTGCGGATCCCCTGTGCTCGGCCGGTCGCCTGCGGCGCCGAGCCCCGATGGTCCGCGCGGGAGCCCACGCCCCGGCACGCCAGCGGCAGCTCCTCCTTCTGCCCAGTGGAGGGACTGCGAGAGGCTGGCTCTGCGAACACCGCCGTCCAGGCCCCAGGTGGCCTGGGGGCTCTCGCTTCGGCTCATGTGCTTCCACATCATGCTTCCGAGAGCTAGCGCCTCGTCCGCGCGCATGGCCGACACCGCCGCCGCCGCCCCGCTCCGCACATGGTCGCCGCCGCCCGCTGCTGCCGCGCTGGTCGACGCCTCTTCCGACCCGGGGAACGTGGCCGTGACTTTCGTGGCGGCCGCGGCGGCGGCGGCGGCAACGGCGACGGCGGTCGCGCTGATGCCGGCCATTCCCATCCCTCCGACGACGCCGGCCTCTCCGCCGCCGCTCGACACGAACTCCGGCCCGACCAGCAAGCCCACCGCGTCGTCCATCATGTTCCCCATCTTGTCCAAGATGTCCCCCTTGTCTCGCCCCCCGGCCTTCTGGCCGATCTGGGCGCGCTGGGGGCCGGCGGCCCCGCCTCGCGCCCCGCCGCCGCCCTGATCGCCAGTGCTTCGAGTGGCGCCGAGATAGATTGCGCCCCTCAGGTGCACGCAGCCCTTGTCCTTGAAGAGGAATAGCACAGGGCCCTTGAGAACCGCCCAGCGGCGCCTCCAGACGTCGGTCAGGGTGCCCGTCTGCCGCTGCAGCATCTCCCCCCGGAGGCGGGGATTCTCCAGGGACGGGAGCGTCCGCGTGAGCGACACGCGCTTGTGCTTCTCGAGCTCGTCTAGACGGTACTCGCGCTCCTCCCACTTCCCGGCCTGCGCAAACCCGACCGTGAGCACCCTGCTCTCCCCGACCGGCTGGTCCCACGTGAACGGCGCCGCGGCCTGAGGCCCCAGGCCGTCCCACGGGAGCTCTCCCTTCCGCCTTCCTCCGGACGACCCGGCGCCCCCCTCTGCCGCTGCCGGCACCCTACTCGCATCGGACGAAGACAAGGCTTGCCGGTAGCGGATGCCGAGCGAGGTGAGGTTGTCCACGCGGTACGGGGGCCACCTCAGATCCTGGCGCTCGAACACCGCGGTCACCGAAGCGCCGACCAGCGCGAGCTTCACTCTAGTGATGTACTCCTTACCGGGCCCGCCGCTACCGCCGCCGCCTGTCGCTGCCCTAAGCTTCACGGCAACCTCACCGACCGTGTCGAGCTTGAGATCCCCGCTCCATATCCATTCGTCGTTGTTGTCAGACTCGGACAGGAACCGGACGTTCAGGGCGCGCCGGTCCTTCGCGAACGGCCAGTGGAAAGCCCGCCTTGCCCCCGGGGGCAAGACTCCTCTCCATCGCCCCCCGCACGACGCCTGCGTGAACTCCAGGGTCCTGGGAAGGGCGTTGATCAGCACGTACCTCGGCAGCAGGGCCAGCACCATCGTCCGCCGGAAGTCACCCTCCCCGGGCCCAACCTGAATGCCGATGTCGTACCTGGTGCGGGGGGAGGCTTCCCTGTGGGAGGAGGGCTTCTCCTGCTCCACCGAGATGCACGCCGTACCCCCCGCGGCGGTCTTGAGGCCGGCCACGTCGACGGACGAGCACCACTCGGAGTCCTGCACGCGCGAGCAAAGCTTCATCTTGTCGAGGGACTCGACGGGGCCGAACATGACTGCCGGCCCCCACTCCGCCAGCGTCGCGACCCCCTTAACCGTCTCCGAAAGACGAGCAGAGCAGCCCTTGGGCCCCGTCGCCGCTGCACGCGCTGCCGCCCCTGAACCGACAGCGGTTGAACCTCCGCTGCTACTGACGGACTGGATAGCCGCGAAGAACCCGGTCGTGGCCGACGGGGTCTTGCCCCCGACCTTACCAGCGGCGGCGGTGGCGCGAGCAGAAGGATGCCCGCCTGCCGGCCGTGACGAGGCAGAAGGTCGGGACCCCGCCAGAGCGTCCAGACCAGTGCCCGGCGGCAGCGCGGCGCCGAGCCACTGGGACGCCTGCGCGGCGGCCACGAGCTCCGCCCGGTGGCACATGCGCAGCCACGGTGTGCCCAGGTTGGAGACGAGCGTCGACGGGTGCACGGGCCGGTAGTCGTCGAAGACGAAGCCGAGGCGGTCCCAGCGCGCGTAGCCCGCGGAGGCCTTCGACACCCCGCTCGACACCCCGAAGCTCTGCTTGAGCGCCCTCAGCTGGCCGTCCACCAGCGACCGCTTGTCCATCTCCCACGTCATGATCTCCGACAGGGCGAGAGCGTCGTCCTCGCTGGGGGCCTGCAGCGGGCAGAGGAAGTACTCCGCCGGGTCGATGGGGCCCAGGCGGGCCTCCGCGGCCACAGCCAGCAGGAGCCCTTCCGCAGTCTCAGAAGCGGGCACCTCCACATCGACCTCGTCCAAGTGGCAACACGGCAGGGCCACCGTGAGCGCGATCCTGACGCCTCTCCCGCCGTGGAAACCCACGCCCCCGGGGGACGGGCCTCTCATCTTGAACGGGGACGCTTTTCCTCCTCCGCCGCCTGCGCCTCTGCCGGAGAAACCTACGCCGCCAACGGGCGGGCCATTCCCGAGTTGGGACGGCCTTGTCGGTGAGGCCAACGACGCGTAGGAAGGCGTCGGAGAATAGGGGGCCGTGTTCTTGCCGCCGCCGCTGCCGGCGTTCCCCCCTCTGAGGGCAAACGAGTCGGTAGCTGCCCTGGCCAACGATCTCGGAGGAGGGGTCACGCCTCCTCCTCTGGCTCCGCCACCCTCCTGAAAACAACAAGTGTTCACAGGATTGATTCTCTGCGGAACAAATAAATGTTTTCAACATTCGTTGTCGAATTAACATTTACCAGAGCAAAGACCAGCAGCGTCGGCCGGCCGAAGAAGGGTCACGAGTGACGAACAATCAACGAAGCAGCGGGCTCGAGAGTACAGTAAAGGCGGGCCAAATAAAATAAACACTCCACATTTCAAACGTAAACCGCAAATCCAGCTAAGCACCGAACCCGATGTTCCCCCAGGGAAAATTAACCTCTCTCACCTTGGTGGGCGTCAGCGCTCCTGCACCAACGGACGCCGGGCGGTGAAGCCGGTAGTCGACTACGCCTACGCCGCCCCCGCCGCCCTCAGCGCCCGTCGTCTCTTGCCGACCGGGCTGCGTGATCTGCGGCATCCTGTCGCCTATGAAGGTCGAGTCTATGCCCCCGGCAAGCGAAGAGTCCCTGTGCTGGAGCACCATCTCCGTGCGGTTTACGAGCCACAGTCGGCAGAACACGCTCAGATCTCGCCCCTGTCCAATAAACCCACGAAAAAACGTAAGGGCCCCAACAAATCAACCAAACCCGCGCCACACCAACAGCCGTGCGCATAGAGGAAGCAGTTAGAAGGGGAGGGGGGGGGGTTGTGGAGCCAAAAATCAGCGCATAGAGCGCTCCGCCGAAGGCAACTCGGCGGCCAATCTGCCAAGCAGTCACATCAAAAGGTGCAGGAAAGCAAAGGCAGACATGATGCCAGACACTTCTTCCGTTATCACGATCCCGCTCTATTTCGTTGCCATGGCTCGCGCTTTCCGCACATATTCATCGATTCGGGGGCCACGCACAAAGAAACACACTGCCGTCCATGCCCCTTCACGTCTTCACGCGAGTAGAGTTCGGCAGTCCCCTTCCCCATGTGCATACAACGAGGAAGCGCTTGATCAGTGTTCCCACCCAAACACCACCACGAAGCTGTCAACAGCCAAGATGCTCGCGGGTTCGTCATAAAGAACGCACACATCCCGCCTTCCTGAAAACTGAGAAAACGCCAACTGCTGCCTATGCACATACCGGCACTGCCCGGATACCCAAAATGCTGCAGGCGGTGGACACCTCTTGGTTCGACGGAGGCACCAAGAACTCGCACAGAATCCCCATCGTGCGCCCGCCCGCACACAAAAGGAGGCCCCAGCTTTATATCTCTACAAAAGCGACAACGACCACAACGACGACAACAACAACATCAACAATACCAGTAACAACCACAACGATGGAGACAACAACGACAGCGACAACAACGACGTGCCTGCAGGGCCACATGCAGGTGAAGTCCGGGGAGCTCTCGACCCTTCTTGGACGACGAAGACGACGACGAGGACGACCCTGCCGACAACGATTCTTCCCCGGGGACAGAAACCTTCACCCCCCGGACCTCCACAGTCCTGACCTTCTCCCGCAGCGGGTGCGCCGACGTCGGCGAGTGTACCTTGATGAAGTCGCTCCACGGGTAGTTCACGAGCAGGAACGAGGCGTACTGCTTCTGGCAGAGGTCCACCCGGTGCAGCGCTATCGACGCGCCCACGGGCAGCACCCCTTCAGCTGAGAGCAAGCCCTGTCGGTTCACGACACGGTACAGCATCGGAGCGCAGAGCAGATTGTGCAGGACGAGCGGGGCCCTGAGGCGCAGCGACACGGCCGGAGGGCTTTCCGCAGGACGCGCGGAGGAGGAGGGGGTGGGGACCGGCGACTTGCCGGAGCCCCCCTCGCCGCCGTTCGTCTCCTCCTTCAGCTCCTTCAGGACGTTCTCCAGCTTGGTGCCGCGGATCTCCCGCTTGAGGCCGAAGGTCTTCGCTCTGACGGCACCGGCTCCGGCAGGAGCAGAAGAAGAAGCTTCGGGCCCGCCGGATTGCCCGGTATCGGACCAACCCCCCTGGAAGTGGCTCGCGAAACTGGTGCCAGCGGTGCCCTTCGAGGCGAGGCGTCTTACCGGGCTGTGGCCTCCCACGCTGATGATCTCCTCGAGCGCCACCGCCCGTTTCCTCCTCTTCTCCGCCTCTTCCGCCGTAACGCCCCCCCCGCTGCTGCTCTGTACCACCGCCTCTGCCGTTGCAGGGACAGAACCCTGGCAAGCGTGGTGGAAATCCTCTTCCTCCTCGTCTTCACCGTCGTCGTCGTCGTCGTCGACGTCGCTGAAGGTGTCGCCGTCGTCACTCACCAGGAGGTCGTCTACTCCCCGCCGCCGGGGGGAGGGTGTGTCGGGCACCGGCGACGACCCCGCTGTGGGCGCGCCGAGCGGGTGCCAGGGCTGCAGCGCGCTCTTCTCAAAGACTGGTGTCGGGGCGCCCATTCCGCTCCCATCTCCTTCTAGGCTGCTGCCAGATTCATCTCCGTCGGAGGTACCGCTGACATCGACGACGCCGCTGCCGACGCGGGCGTGGTGCGGGCTTGCGGTGGTGCTCCCCGGGAGAGCTGCGCCGTAGCCGGTCAGCGACGTCGACGAGGACCGCCGGAGTCTGTGGAGCCGGCAAGAATCGGGGCCAAGATCATCACACCAGAAGCAAAAACAAGGGGGAAAAACAACCCCCAGAAATCATCACCGCTGCACGGTTTTGACGGTATTACCAGAGGTACGCTTGTCAAGAGCAATAATTGATGAGTGACATCAAGCCATGCGGCGCAACACAAACAGCCCTGTTCTGAGACGGGAATAGAGAGGGAGAGGACCTGCCGCTCAGCCACGACTCTGAGCTGTGCTGAAAAGATTGCGCTTGCACCGCACCAACCTACCAGCCGAGAGCTCACAAGAGAGAGAGGTACATTTTGCTTCTTACCGCGAGGAGAAGGGGCTCGACGCAGACGACTTGCGTAGCGCCTCCGCCATCATCACGGCGGCAGAGTGGTCTCCGCTCTCTTCGCTACCGCCGCCGGCGACGCTCGAGACGGGGGCGTCGTGATTCGCCGAAACATCAGCCAAGACCCACCTAGAAATCGTAAGAGAAGCAAGGGGGGTTATTCGTTGCCTGCTTCAACTTTCTGGCTACGTGAAGGCCACAGGCGACCCGAGATGGAGCACCGGGAAGTTTCCTGACACGTGCACTCCGACATTTTCGAGCGCTCAGTGAGAGTGGATCAATCCAAAAAAATGCGAAACAACGCCCCTCCACCCAGGGCATTCTCCGGCTCTGCAGGCAGCCTGTAACCACCCCATCTCTACATCTCAAATGACTCGACGTCAAGCTTGTCACGGCCTCCTCGACTGGCCGTCGAAGTATTATCTACCTCTTGTCTTCTCTCTCTCCATCTTCTCTTGCGCACGATGTTCGTAGTGCGTGGCACTCATGGTGATTCCTCCCCTCGACCTTTCATGTGTGTTCATGTGTTCATGTGTTCATGTGTTCATGTGTTCATGTGTTCATGTGTTCATGTGTTCATGTGTTCATGTGTTCATGTGTTCATGTGTTCATGTGTTCATGTGTTCATGTGTTCATGTGTTCATGTGTTCATGTGTTCATGTGTTCATGTGTTCATGTGTTCATGTGTTCATGTGTTCATGTGTTCATGTGTTCATGTGTTCATGTGTTCATGTGTTCATGTGTTCATGTGTTCATGTGTTCATGTGTTCATGTGTTCATGTGTTCATGTGTTCATGTGTTCATGTGTTCATGTGTTCATGTGTTCATGTGTTCATGTGTTCATGTGTTCATGTGTTCATGTGTTCATGTGTTCATGTGTTCATGTGTTCATGTGTTCATGTGTTCATGTGTTCATGTGTTCATGTGTTCATGTGTTCATGTGTTCATGTGTTCATGTGTTCATGTGTTCATGTGTTCATGTGTTCATGTGTTCATGTGTTCATGTGTTCATGTGTTCATGTGTTCATGTGTTCATGTGTTCATGTGTTCATGTGTTCATGTGTTCATGTGTTCATGTGTTCATGTGTTCATGTGTTCATGTGTTCATGTGTTCATGTGTTCATGTGTTCATGTGTTCTTCCGTAGGCATCGGCCGCGCTAACAAATGAAAAAGACCATTGAGTCGGACAGAAATACGCGTTCGACTTGCCATGAACTCGGCGCCACCATCGAAGAACCCTTCCCAGAACCAGTCCCAGTTCCAAGGGCACCCGCTCCCGCGAAGCCGCGAACGCCCCTCGACGCTCCAGGTGAGGGTGCACTGGACGCCGCGAACACCTTGTACTCTCCGCCGTCACCGCCGCCACCGCCACCGCTGCCCTGCACCCCAGCCCTGCCCCCGCCGCCGCCGCCGCCGCCGGCAGAGGTTGGTGCCGACTTGACCTTAGGCGCCGCGTACGCTGTCTTCTCGGCTCCGGCGAGGGACTTGACAAGGGTTGCCCAGTCGGAGGGGGCGCCCGCAGAAGCTGTGGGTCGAGCATGAATCTGGGAGGAGGGGGGTTGGGGGGGGG